TGGGATTGAGTTAGCCAGTTCGAACGAGCCAGAGGGTTCCGTCCATGCCCACCCGCCCTCCCACAACATAAGACGCAAGTGCGACGCGTCCGACGCCTGTCGCTCATCTTATACCGTGGGTGGCCAGACGTTCAGCGCGCAACATGAGTTGCGTCCTACTCCTGCCGCGTATTGAGCAACGTCGACGAGGAACAAAACCGCGCGCGGCTTACCCCGCGCCCCACTCCAGCTTCTGCACCGCCAATCGTTTCGCTCCTGCCGCGCATGGAGGAGGGGGAGGAAGAGGATGCGGAGGGGAAGGAGAGAGGGAGGGAGGGAGAAACTGAGGAGGAAGAGGGGAATGCCTCTTGGGAATTCGCGGGACGTCCCATTCCCGGTACGCGATTCGCAGCGCCGACGAGGAGAAAGTACATGTTAACAAGAAAAACGTCGACGTTGCAGTGTTTTTCGGCAGGTAGGACGGGTGGTCCCGCGTAGGGTTGGCCAGGCGTCCCCGCGCGATGTGCGCCGCGTCCCATTCCTGCTACACGGTTCGCAGCGTCGACGACAAGAAATTCCATGCTGAATAGAAAGACGTTGACATTGTTTTTTCTAGAACAAATCCGATTGGTAGGACGCGACCACCCGTCAAGGGCTACCCAAGCGATGTTCATTCCGTTTTTTCCCTTCCTACACTTATCGCAGCGCCGACGACAACAAAATCCATGTTGCCAAGGAAAACGTTAAAATCGGATGGCGTTGTTGATAGGTAGGACGCGACCACCCGCTTAGGGTTACCCAAGCGATGCTCATTCCGCCAGATTCCTTTTTGCATTTTTCGCAACTCGACGAAATGCTGGCGGGAAACAGTTTGAGTTTGTATGGTTGTTTACAGTTTGGACGGCGGGTCTGCTATCGGCCGGCGAGGTGAAGGTTTGGGGTTGTTTAGCCATCGGAAGTAAGTGTGGGGTGGGGTGGGGTCAAATTGGCCAGGTCGAAACAGCCAGAGGGCCCCGTCCACTCCCACCCGCCCTCCCGCAACATAAGTAACAAGTGCGTCGCGCCCGACGTTCGTCGCTGATCTTATATCGCGGGCGGCTAGACGTTCAGCGCGCGGCACGAACTGCGTCCTGCTCCTGCCGCGCATTGGGCAACGTCGACGAGAAACAAGACCGCGCGCGGTTTACGCCGCGCCCCGCTCCAGCCTCTCATGTTGCATCGTCGGCGACAACATGTCCAGCGCGCGAAGTGCGCCGCGTCTCTATCCAGCCACGCAGGTTGCACCGCGAATGGCTTCGCCCCTGCCGCGCATGGAGGAGGGGGAGGAGGAGGAGGAGGAGGAGGAGGAGGAGGAGGGGGAGGAGGAGGATGAGGATGAGGAGGAGGAGGAGGAAGAGGAGGAGGAGGAGGGGAGGGTGAGAGTGTTGGAGGGAGAAACTCAAGAGGAAGACGGGCATGTTCCTTGGGAATTCGCGGGGCGTTCTGGGAGTTTTCTGGCATGCGCCTGAAGGCCTGTTGGATATATCTTCCGGATTGAACCGCACATTCTTGAGCCATTATGACTCGCCGCCCGCCCAGCTCCTCCGACGCGCCGCCCGCCCAGCTCTTCCGTCCAGCGCCGCCCGACGGGCCGCAGCGTCGACGACAAGAAAGTACATGTTGACGAGCAGGCGTCCCCGCGCGACGCGCGACGCGTCCCATTCCAGCGCATCGCCGACGAGGAGAAAATACATGTTGGCAAGAAAAACGTCGACGTGGCTGTGTTTGTTGGCAAGTGGGACGGGGGGTCCCGCGCAGGGTTGGCCAAGCGTCCGCGCGCGATGCGCGATGCGTCCCATTCCTGCTACACTGTCCGCAGCGCCGGCGACAAGAAAGTCCATGCTGACGAGAAAAACGTTGACTTTGTATTGTTTTTGATGGGTAGGACGCGACCACCCGCTTACGTCGACCCAAGCGATGTTCATTCCGTCAGATTCCTGCTGCACTTTTCGCAACTCGACGACATGTTGGCGAGAAAAAAATATGTTTGCGATTGTTTTCCATATTGTTTTTCACAGTTAGGACGGCGGGGTTGCTAGCGGCCGACGAGGTGGGGATGTGTGGGTGTTTAACCATAGGAAATACGGGTGGGGCGGGGTGGGGGTGGATCAAGTTAGCCAGCTCGAACGAGCCACAGGGTTCCGTCCACTCCCACCCGCCCTCCCGCAACATATGTAACAAGTGCGTCGCGCCCGACGCCTGTCGCTCATCTTATATCGCGGGCGGCTACACGTCCAGCGCGCGACATGAGTTGCGTCCTGTTCCTGCCGCGCACTGGGCAACGCCAGCGAGAAACAAGACCGCGCGCGGTTTACGCCGCGCCCCGTTCCGGCCTCTCATGTTGCATCGTCGGCGACAACATGTCCAGCGCGCGAAGTGCGCCGCGTCTCATTCCAGGCACGCAGGTTGCACCGCGAATCGTTTCGCTCCTGCCGCGCATGGAGGAGGGGGAGGAGGAGGAGGAGGAGGAGGAGGAGGAGGAGGAGGAGGAGGAGGAGGGGAGGGAGACAGGGAGGGAGGGAAACACTGATGAGGAAGAGGAGAATGCTTCTTGGGAATTCGCGGGGCGTCCCATTCCCGCTACGCGATTCGCAGTGCCGAAGAGGAGAAAATTCACAGTGGCAAGAAAGACGTCGACGTTGCGGTGGATTCTGGCAGGTAGGACGGGGGGTCCCGAGTAGTGTTTGCCAGGCGTCCGCGCGCGATGCGCGCCGCGTCCCATTCCTGCTACACTTTTCGCAGCGTCGACGACAAGAAACTCCATGTTGAAGAGAACAACGTTGAGTTTGTATTGCTTTTGATGGGTGGGACGCGACCACCCGTTTGGGGTTACCCAAGCGATGTTCATTCCGTTTCATTATTACTACACGTTTCGCAGCGTCGACGACAAGAAAATCCATGTTGTCGAGAAAAACGTTGATTGTGTATTGTTCTTTGGATAGGTCGGACGCGACCACCCGCTTAGGGTCACCCAAACTATGTTCATCCTGTCCGGTTCCTGATACACTTTTCGCAACTCGACGACATGTTGGCGAAAATACAATTGAGTATGTATTGTTTGTTGAAAGTTGGGGCGGCGGGTCCGCCATCGGCCGGCTAGGTGGGGGTTTGGGGGTGTTTGGTCATAAAAAGTAAGGATGGGGTGGGGTGGGGTGGAGTGGGGTGGAGTGGAATGGTGTGGGGTGGTGTGTGGGTGTGTGTGGGTGTGTGGTTGTGGGGTTTGATTCGCAGCACTTCGGTGTTGACCGTACATCGATTTTAAATGGCACCGGTGTGGATCACCCGCCAGCCAACAAGACGTTTGTGCGTGGCGCGGCCCCCCGGCGGGACGTTTGACGCGCAGCACCAAAGTGCTGACGACACATCGGTGTTAAAACGCACCGCTGCGGATCAGCCGCCGGCGCGTTTTGTGCGCGGCGCGGATCGATTTCGCACCTGTGTGGAGATGCTTGAGTCATCCTTAAACCATTAAGAACGAGTTCCTCGTACGGAATCCGTGCAATGAAACCCTTCGTAAGGAATTCTGTTTCAGGAGCCCTTAGTAAGGCATTTTTAGTAAGGATTTCCCACTAAGGAAGCAACCGTAACAAATCCAGACTAGGGAATCCTTGGTAAGGAGCAAGTCTTCCTTACTATTGAATCCTTGCTGAAGAAGGAGCCCTTCATCGCAATTCCGAATTCAGGGACTCTTTGGAAAGAATCCTGCTGAAAAGGGGTGCTTCGTACGGAAACCATAGTAAGGCTTCCTTATTGGGGGGTCGTTCGTGATGTGCCTGCAGTGAGGGGTCCTTTTGCGGGAACCCGTAGCTAAGAAATCAGCAATATCGAATCCAGGCTAGGCAATCCGTGGTAAGGAACCCTTAGTAAGGTTTCCTTTCTCGGGGTGTGCTTGCTGAGGGGTCCTTGATCGTAAATCAGTAGTCTAGAGGCCTTAGGGATCCTGTGTAAATGGGGTCCCCAGTAAGGAATCTTACGTAATGAATCCTTCGGCAGGAAGCCTGAGTAAGGCTTCTTTTCTAGGGGAATGCCACTAGTAATGTGCCCGTAGTAAGGACTCCTTTCGCGGAAGTCCTTACTCAGGGAGCCTTAATAGGGGGTCCGAGCATCGTCAGCAGGAGCAGGAGGAGCAGCAGCGGGAGCAGGAGCAGGCGATCGGGAGCAGGAGGGGCCAGGAACAGGAGCCAGGGGATGGGGGAGATCACAGTGCAGCAGCAGGAGGGAGAAGGAGGCGGCTGAGCGGGAACCGGAGGGTTGCAGCGGGAGCGGGAGAGGGCGATGGTGGAGGGCCCGGATCGCGCTCCAGGAGCAAGGCAACGGGGGCGGAGGAGGGCGATGGTGGAGAGCGGAAGGATCGCGGTGGTGGAGCGGGAGTGGGAGGAGGCGAAGGCGAAATGTGGGATCGTGGCGGCTCGACCCTGGTTCAGGGGAGCTTTGCGCTCGGATCCATGCCCGCGCAGGGTCCCCCCGAGGTCCCCGGAGAGCCGCCAGAGGCCTTCAGGGGCGCAGGTGGGGTCAGAAGCATCGACCCCGTGATGCTCAGCCGCCTTGAACAAAAAAGGCACGCGGCGCCCTGGGCAGAGGCGAAAGGGGGCTGGAAGGAGGGACAACGTAGGACGAGAGGAAGGCAGAGAGGAGGTGGGAAAGATGGAGGGAAGGAAGGAAGGAAGGATAGGGAGGAGGAAAGCAGGGAAAGGGGGAAGACTTTGTGGAAGGACTGCGTGCTTGGACCGCATGTAGCTCGCAAGTGGGGGGGCCTCGGGGCAGGTCCATCCAGCTGCGAGTCCCAACCACCCTGGTAGGCCTGCGGGCCAGCGGAACGGGGCGGCGGCCACGAGAGGAGGGGAGAGCGCGGAGAGGCAGGGGAGATGGAAAGGAGGAGGGGGGGAAGTGCAGGAAGGGGGCGCGGCGCGGGAGCACCCGAACGCCCCGGAAGCCCCTCGGCGGTGGCCACCGACAGCGAGAGGAGGCGGGGGCGCCCGCAGGCGTGATCGGGTGGAGGAGGAGGACGTTCCGCGGACCCCGCCAGGTCGCGGCGGGGGGGAGTGGCGGGGGGTCGGGCATTGGCGCTGGGTGGCCAGGCAGAGCGCGCCGCCTGCGCCTCTTGCCTCCTGCCTGCCTTCGGAGGAAGGATCCACTGAGGGCCTCCTCCGAGGGGGGGGACATGTGAAATTCGCCAGCTGCATACATAGTTACGTCTGTCGTGTGTCTGTGTCGAGAGATCCTGGAGATCGTTGCCCAGCTGTTGAGGGTACTGCCTCCCTCGGCCCCGCCGTCTTGTTTGCCAGATCTGAGGTCGAGGGCGGCGGCATTGGACAGTCAACGGATACATCGTCTTGTCCTCGTCCGTCCTCCTCTTACGTTCCCTATCTCCCCCCCTTCCTTCCCGTCATCCTTTTGAAGGTACGTACCTTCTCTCTGTTCACCTCCTCCGCCGCTGCGTTCTATCTGTTTCTGCCTCTGTGGCGATGATTTGAAAAAGTTTGCTCAGCGATCCGACCCGGCAGCCAAGTTGTCGATGATCCAGTGTCGCGGCGGGGCGGTATCCTTATTATAATGAGCGTGTCCCTCCCCTACCCCCTCCTCCACCTCTTCCTCCATCTCCTCCTCCTCCTCCTCCCTCTCTTCCCCCCCTTCATCTGCTTATCTTACTCATCATATTTACGTCTTTCTTTTTCGTACATGCGGTCAGGAATTTTGGCTTAGCGTGTCGCTCCGCCGGTTCTGGCCCACCACTCTTCGGCGAGAAACGCTATACACGTCCCCACCCCCAAGCGTCAACGTCCGAAGCCTTTCCCAGCCTCCCGCCCCGCGGAACGGGGCGACACGCTGTCGGCGTGCAGGGCATAGCGTGTTGCCAGGGCCGCTGCTGCGACCCGCTGAGCAAAAGCTCCCGACCGTTATCCCACTCTGCCTCCTGGCGATTGCTATCACATCCGCGCGTTTCCACCTCCTAGCCCCAAAGCACAACACGAAATCAACGCCTTATCTCTCAACACGGACGTGGTCTCGTCGGCGTTCCAATGCGTGGCCCGAACACGACGCGGCGCACATCGTGCGAGAAGTATCGGAGTCTCGATCTCGCCCCAGCGCCGCGCACACTCGTCCCGAAAGTTGCGCTTCTGCCCGGGCGCGGCGCACAGTGTTCTCTCGCCAACTCGTCGGCCGCGGGGCCGCGCGCGAGCGGGCCACATGCGGCTCACGCCAGAGCACTGCGCAGAGTCCGCTCGGAGGTGGCGCTCCCGCTTCCGCTGCGGCGCATCTTGTTCGCTCGCCTGGTCGTTGGAAGCGTGGCCGCGCGCGTGCGAGCGAAGTGTCGCTCGCTCGCCCAGGAGCCGCGGCGCAGCGTCCGCCCGACAGGTGGCGTCCCCGTCGTCGGGCGCAGCGCGCTCTTTTTCGCCCGCCGAGTCGTCGGACGCGGACGCGGGGCCGCGTGCGAACGGGCGAAACGTCGCTTTTGCAGCAGCGCCCTGGAGATAAAAAGTGGTGCTCCTGCGTCGGCGCAGCGCATGGCTTGTCTTCGCCACTCGCAGCGGAACTGGGGCCGCGTGCGGAAAGGCTGCACCGTGCTACCGCCGAAGCGACGCGCAGGGATGGTCTGAGAGTTCCATTCTCGCTTGTGCGCGGCCGATGCTTGCGTTTTCTCGCCAAGTCGTCGGGTGTGGGGCCTCGGGCGAGCGCCTTCCATGCGTTAGGCAGGATCTCGTTCCAGTGCGCGTTTGCTGTATCTAGCTCCGTCACGATATATTATTGTATGGGGCGGAGGGTGGGGATTAGCGGGGCGCGCTGACTCTCTCGAGCTGGCTAGCATGACTGAGCTGCATACCCCATCCATTTCTGACCAGGGGGGACGAGGAGGAGGAGGAGGAGGAGGAGGAGGCGAAGAAGGAGGAGGAGGAGGACAAGGATGGGGGGCGAGAGGGAGGGGATGAGGCTGGAGAAAAGAGGGGATGCGCCTGGGAGGAGGGTCACGAGCAGCGGTATCGGCAGCAGAAAAAGGAACAGACGCCGCTGGCCTTCAGGCCCTCGCCCCGATGGCGAAGCCTCGCCACAGCCACGGTGGCCTGCGTCATGGCAAGGCGAGCCCGTGCAGGACGAGCAAAGGGGAGTAGGAGGAACACCAGCACCACCACCAGCCGCATGCTGAGGAAGAGCATCGCATTGAGGAGGGGCAGGGGAGAAGATGCCGAGCAGGAATAATAGGAGGAATACCACAAGAAGGATGAGGAGGAGGAGGCGGAGGAGGAGGAGGACGACGACGACGGAGCGTAGGATGTGGCTGAGGAGGGTATCGCAGGGAGTATAGCAAACATACGGAGATTGAGGATGAATATGAGGAGGAGGAGGAGGAGGAGGTCTGACTTCAAGAGCACGCAGGCCAGGCCGTCCGGGACTACGCTCCACCACAGGATCGGCGTTGGGACCCGAGCTTCGCAGATATGGCAACACGCGTCCCTGAGCGAGCGCAGCGAGGTGTCCTACCTGAGCAGCCCATCAACGAGCACACCTACATCGCATGGGATATTGGAACACCCGTCATACCAGTCAACACGAATCGGGATGGATGCAGTCCTTCCACGAGCGCCACTACATTGCAGGCTACTTCGGCGTAACTAACCCGCCATGCAAGGGTGACGCCGAACCGAAGATCAACGTCAATACCGTCAATTGGTTCAGGCGCAGCAAGTTCGAATGTGACGAGGAGAAGCATCTCGAGCATTGCACCTGCAGGCCGATGCACGTACCCTATTATTGGATTGTGTTGTGACAGATTCTGCCCAAGGATGGCACGAGGAAGTCCGATCAAGGAGCGAAGGCCATCATCGATGCTCTACCTTGGGCCCGCACGCGGGAGTTTGCCGATAACGGCCGCAACTACCCCAGGTGCAGCTACCAATGAACAAATGGGAGGAATTGGCCAACACGCAGAACATCCACAATACCACTCCGAGGACGCAGAGCGGACATGTGGGTCAGCAGGACATGGACTACATTTTCATGGCGCCAGTACAAAAGGCCTCCAACTGATACGGCTTGAAGGGCCATGTTCCACGTTGCAGCTTCAACGTGCTCGGAAACATATGGTGCGACCCAATCAGCGTCCTGCTGCAGGAAGGGAGGGTGGGGCGACTTAGTGTCCGCCGAGAAGGCTCAGACTTCCTACCATGAGGGTGGACATCGGCGCCACTCGAAGCTGATGTATTCACTTCTTTTCCTGCATCACCAACGGACAGGGCGCGAACCTTCTCCCTCATTAGTCTTTGCGCCCCTGTCGAGATTGACCCGCCCTCTGGAGCCGTCCTTGGGGCCGCAGATCAAAAAAAAGTAATCCCACCAGTTCTCCTCTGGACCACCCTGGTCTTCGCGCTTCGCGCCGTCCGGGGCCTCGACTTTTCATTTCTCTTCACGACTTCGACCGACGTCTCGTTGGCACTGGCCACCCTGGTGCCCACGCCGACGTTTGAGGTTCGGTATCACATTTTCTCTCTCGGTGTTGTCCCTGGCCGTCGTTGACTTTCCTACGCGTGACGCCTCCGACTGACTTGCTGCTGTGCACACGGCAGCTCCCCCCAGCTCAGCTCCAGCAGCCCCACCCTGAGGCCTCGGCCGCGATTAGTTGTCGCCTCGCCCGTCGCTCTGTTGGTGTTTTCCCGCGTTCATCTTGCCTTTTCCGCCTCGGCCTCTTGCATGCACACTCTGCTAGTACTGTGCCCCATTTCTGCTGTTAATTCGTCTGTGGCGCGTACCCTCTTCGACTTGACACGCCGCCGGCGCTTCCGCCGCTTCCCACCAGATGTGAGATTGCGCTGCGGCTTTGCTTCTCGTCTTCTTGTCTTGCTTTTGTATTCGCTCTCTTCTCGTGCGGTTCTTGTCTCCTTCTCTCCTGCTGCCGTTCCGCTGTCGCCTGTTAGCCGCCTGTTCGGCCCGCTTTCGACTTACTGACGGTGCGCGGTTGGTTCCGCGACACTCGCGATCAAAAGAGTACCCCCACCAGCACATCCAGAAGCGATGCCCAGAGGAATTGCCTCGATCAGGGAAGTGGGTAGCACACAGAGGAAGGGTCCCCCAGTGGAGGCCTCTTGGAGCGTCTTGGGGGCCTCTTGGCGGTCCTCGGCGCCTCTTAGAGCGTCTTGGGTGCCTCGGGGAGCTTCTTGGGGCCTCTTGGGGGTCTCTTGGGAGCCTCTTGGAGGCCTCTTGGACGCCTGTTGGGGCCTCCTGGGGCCTCCTGGGCGCCTGTTGGGGCCCTCTTGAAGCGCTCTTGGGAGCTTTGGGAGCGCTCTTGGAGCCCACTTGGGCCATATTGGAGCCATCTTGGCCATTGGAAGCTAAAAGGAGAGAAAGCCAAACATGTCGATTGTTCCAATGTTTTTGACGGACTTGGGCCTCTTCGGGGCCTCCTGGGGAAGCTCTTTGGCCAATTGAAACCGTCTTGGAGCGGTCTTGGGGCCTCGTGGAGCATCGTGGGAGCCATCGTGAGGCATCTTGGGATATCTTGAGCCATCTTGGAGGTCATCTTGGGCTCTCCCAGGCACTCTTGGAGCCATCTTAAGCAGTGCCCCCACCCCCCCTTCAGGAGGCCAACATCTGGCCAACGCCTAGTAACATCAATGAGTTTGGCAGTGTCGCCGGGGCCTCTTGGAGCGTCTTGGGTGCCTCTTGGGGCCTCTTGGGGCCTCTTGGGGGTCTCTTAGGAGCCTCTTGGGGGCATCCTGGGGGTCGCTTGGGGGCCTCTTGGGGCCTCCTTGCCGCCTCATGTGGCCCCCTTGGGGCACCCTTGGGAGCCTTGGGAGCGTTTGTGGGGCCGTATCGGAGGAGGTCGATCAAAGACGGCGGTTCCGTAATTAGCGTCGCCCCCCCAAGAGGCCGAAATGGGCCTACACTAGTAAAACCGATGATTTGGGCTTCCTCGCCGAGGCCGTTTTGGGCGCTGCGACCGCTCGCGAAACTCCCCGTCCAGGTCAAAGGGAGGGGGTAGGGGGAGGGGTAAACCCTTCCCCGAAGGGGAAGAAGGGGGTGGAAGAGGAAACACCCTAAACCACCTACGCCCTAAAGGGCTGGTGGGATTTGTCCACGTTTGTCATTGTGGTACGTTTTGTTGTACAGCGCATGCGGCGACTTGGACCAGGCTGCAGACAGCCGGGGCCCTTCGACAATTGGCGGCTGCAGCGGGAACTCTTATACCTCGGTCGCCATCTCGTTCGGCAGCGGCCTTATCTTCTGCGTACAACTGTTCAGCGCGGTCGGGCTCAACGGGTGAGTATTCCACTGGGTGCATCTAGCTGGCTTGTCACTTCCAGCAACAGAGTCAAAGCGCAGACGGCATGTCAGATGCCACGCGCGGCGTGTCATCTAGCGAAGACAACCACGACAGCTTGGTGACGACATGTATCTCGCTTCTCCATCTGAGCTTGTTCAGCGGCGACGTGTTCGACAGCGCTTCCACTCCGACCTATTTCCAGCGCGGGTGGATTCAATGGATGGGCGGTTCCATTGTTTCGGTGTACGCCCTTGTTTTCTGGCGGCACACTCACCGCGTGGCAGGCAAGCAGCACAGCTTCCACACTGAGTTGCGTCTGCTACTGGAAACTACCATGGCAGCCTGGCGACGGCAATGCGCCTCATCCCGTTCGTGAGATTGTTCGACGGCAGCGTTTTCGCCAGCGGTTGCCAATCCCGCCTATTCCAGCATGGGTGGTTTCAATGGGCGGGTACTGCTATCTGATGTCTACACAACGAGCGGCTACTTCCAGCAACGCAGCCAACACATGCTGGCAACACAGATGACACACAGAGTTGGGCCTGCCACTGGATACAGCCAGAACAGCAGTGAGACGACATTGCCTCATCTTCTGGTGAGCGCGAATGGGCGGACGCTTCCAACAAAGCCAATGCGGGCCAGCACATGGCCACCCTGGCAACGCAAATTACCAAGCCATCCCGAGTTCAGCTGAGCCGTGCCGCGCCTCCACACCAAAGGGGGGAGGCGGCTGGAAGAGCACGGGGTTGGCACGGATGGGGGGAGGAGGGCCGCAGTCGGCGCACATCGCTTTGGGTAAAGACGCAGGCCGACCGCGGACCACCTTGGCAGCCACCTTATTGCGTCGCTAACACCAGCCCCCATCGCCTTCGTTCTTCTTTTCCACTTGACTCATCAGCATTCTATGCTGCCCGCCGCTGCATCTCGCGCTGGCGCCCCTACTTGATTTGATATCTCTCTCCCTCTCCCCGCTCTCTTTCTCTCTTTCTCTCTCTCTCTCTATCCCTCTTTCTCTCTCTCTCTCTCTCCCTCTTTCTCCCTCTCTCTCTCACTCTCTCTCTCTCTGTATATACATGTATGTCTATACATGTAGACAAATATATGTATAGTTATCCAGTTCCGCTGTCGACGCGCGATTCGCCACCACGCTTGGGCGGGCGGGTGGGGGGGAGGGGGCGCCTTGAGGGTCCACGGCCCCCCCTTTCCGCAAGCTCTGTAGTTGGGCAACTGTCTGGCTGGAGGGCCAAAAACGCAGGGACGTGGCCACACAGTTGACCGCATCTTGGTCTCGATGCGCTGGGGGCCCTACCTGCACCAGCCGCTGCAAGCCCGGAGGCGGATCCTGTGCTGCCCGCCGCCGTGCCGCCTCGACCGCCGCGAACGGGGCTGGCACGGCTGGGAGAAGCTGGCAGGGGAGGCTCGGCAGGGTGATCCGACGACGTGCCACGTCGGCGCGGGCCGCCCCCGGCATTGGCCACGGGCGGCCGCAGACCACGTGGCAGCACCGCCGCGGCCTGGGCCGCGGCCCCCCCCTCCCGCCCTTTTTCCTGGGCTTGGGCTTGCGTCGCGGGCCTCTGCCGTCTCGCCGTGCGTGTTGCCGTGCTCCTGTTCCCCCTCCTCTGCCGGCGCGGTATCCCAGCAGCAGTCCCATCTGTTGTCCTCTCCCGTCCCGGCTGCGCAGGCCGCCGGGTGGGGGGGAGGGCCGCGCCAGAGCGGCAACACAGCGCGCCTTTGTGAAGTTGTAGAGGAGGAGGAGGAGGAGGAGGAGGAGGAGGAGGAGGAGGAGGAGGAGGGCGCCGTCTGTCGGCATCACGTGCTGGGGTCGTGGACAGTATGGGGGTGGAAACCACCTCTCTAGGGTATTCACGAACACCCTCCATGATAAGACCACATCTGCCCCGGCCCTTCCTCCGCCGTGCATCCGTACTGCTACGGGATGCACGCCCGAATTGAATTTCGCACCCCACCCCACCCCACCCCACCCCACCACCCACCCCCCACCACCCCCCCCACCCCACCCCACCCCACCCCACCCCACCCCACCCACCCCCAGAGAATGACGCGGGGGGCGGATGAGGGATGAGGACGAGGAGAAGCAGGGCGCTAAGGAGGCGAAGGAGGACGGTTGGATGGCTGAGGACGAGAAGGCAACGAAGGAGGAGGAGAAGGAGAGCAAGGACATGAGTTTGGGACGGGTTCCGGTAAAGGCAAGAGGTGCCACATTGAGTCATTGAATCGCTTCGCTCATTCCGCCGGCCCATCTTGCCTCGCCGCTTGGGGGCCGTGTTGGGGCGTCTTGGGGGTCTTTGGGAGGCAGTTTTGAGGCCTCTTGGGGGCCGTGTTCTGGTACAGGCAAGGGGTGCCACATTGAGTTCTGATATAGCTGAAGGTTCCCGTGGACGAGAAGCATGAAGGCTGCGGCGAACGAGTCGGAGGAGCGTTTTGGGGCACACGAGTTGTTTGCAAGACCGACGTTGGCAGCCAGGGGGGAGGAGGGGGAGGGGGCTGCCTTGCCAGGTCCATTTGCTTACCGCGCCCTTTGAACAGGGACCGGCCGTTTTTGTTGATTGGCCTCATATTTCGAACAGGCAAGGGTACGAATTCGAACCTTTTGCGCCACCTGCGTCAGGAGGGGAAAAGCACATAGACACAAGGAATCGTCGATCCCCAGGACGACATTGAAAATATGGGCAGTCAAGGGAAAGACGGAATTCTATGACATATCTTTCAAGAAGGGCCGGCCGCGCCACACTCTCGGGGAGCGTTCTGACCCCTGAGCCGCCCGCCCCATCCCTGTTTTCCTTCGGCCGCGTCCTCTCTCCCTCCTCCTCCTCCTCCTCCTCCTCCTCCTCCTCCTCCTCCTCCTCCTCGTCCTCCTCCTCCTCCTCCTCCTCCCCCTCCTCCTCTTGCATGGTGGCACAATTCGCTCCAACGGCATCCCCGTTTCAGCCTCTCGTCGCCAGCGCAGTCACCCCCCGCCTAGCCGCCGACGCTACAAGAAGTGCCCTGGGCCGCCCCCCGCCCCGAAGAGCGGCGCGACCCGCTGTCCGCGCGGGCGGCATCGCGTGTCGCGGGGGCCCCCGCTAGAGGCCCCCGGGCGGACTGAACCGGGCGGCTCGCCTTGGAGTTGCTCTAGGGGGGCGGCGGCGCGGCCGCCACGCTCTCCCCCCCGTCCTTTGTCGGCCTCGTCGCCCTCGTCGTTTTGTTCGCCTTGCCGTGGGGCTCCGCTGCGGAAATGGAAAGAAATCACTCCTCCTCCTCCTCCTCCTCCTCCTCCTCCTCCCCCTCCTCCTCCTCCTCCTCCTCCTCCTCCTCCTCCTCCTCCTCCTCCTCTGGAGCCTCTGGAGCCTCTGGAGCCTCTGGAGCCTCTGCGGACGCAATCCCTCAGTGAAAGACTGGCCCGTGGGGGAAAATTAGTGGACTGGGAAGGGGCGCCCCACCAACACCTTGGAGGTGGGGTCCATGCCCTGGCGCATGTACTTCAAGGCCCCTACCTTCCCAGTCCCTGCAACGCGAGGGCAACGCGCGGCCAGGTCCTTGACCTGCCTCCGCGCGTGGCACCCGCACTGCATACAGAAATATAAGTCCGAGCCCAGCACCCACATGCGGTGCGACTGGTGCGTCCGCGCAAGCACCCTCGGCTTGCCAGGACACTCGTTCTGGATGACTGCACTCCGACGAGCCGCATTCACTCCACAAATTCTGCAACCCCACCTGCCATCAGCGTTGTGCAGCAGGTGGCCTCGATCCCCCGTGGTGAGTTTTAGCACGCACACGGGTTCATCATTTAAAGTCTGGTTCTGCCTGGGGACCTTTGTGGCCCTCGGGACCTTATCCACATCTGGAAATCCTAAAGTGCTCAGGCGCCTCAGAGTGTCTGCCAGGAGCCTCGTGAATTGCATACCGAAAACCTTGGCCGCCTGGATCATTTGATCCATCTGGGGTACTACTGGATGCTCTAGAGCCCCCAACTTCGAATACTTGTCGGCCTGCCAGTTACCAGGGTACCAGGAGTCCGAAAAGTTGTGATTCCTGAGCCACGCTCTGCTTTTGTGAGACGGCATCCACTGAAGATTCGCATTCTCCGTCCCCACATCATTCATTTTCCAGAATATTAGTCGCCAGACTTCCCAATACGGTTCTGAATCTCTACACATCTTCTCGGGGCCCTTCTGGAGGCCTATCAAGAGGTTCTTGTGGTCCGTGATAATGGTCGCCCTGGGCCCCATGAGACATAATGCCATGCAGAACGCGTAGTGCTCTGCCAAGCCCGCGCTCTGCACAGGCCCTGGCACTGGCCCGTAGGCCACCGATGAAACTTGCTCGCTGCCGTGCTGGAGAGATACGACCGCCCATCCTGCCCTCGTCATCCACTCCACATCTGGGTTGACCCCCGAGCCGTCTATAAAGATCTCTTCGCTGAGGTAGCCGCATCCTAGGAGACCGCGCTGAGGGCATTCGTGATCTTGCAAGGGCGGAGGCATGGCGTCTCTCATACTGTCTGTGACCCCGAAGTCAACTAAGCAGTTGCCAGGGAACTCCCGACCGACCGACACGACATCATCATAATCTTGATCACGACGCCATGCCTCTAAGCCGTCGCATCCGTAAAGTCTGTGAGATATCGAGCCTGACGGGTGTCCGCACCACCTGCAGGCGGACGACAAGGAATAACGCTCTTCGTAGAGCTTGGACTGCGTCCACAGTCCACCTGACATGTGTATTGAAACGAGATCTGCTGAAGCAGGATGACCTTTGGCCCGAAGAACTTGCAGCTCTGCCTTGATCGGGTCCAAGAAGGGGGTCCCATTCCAGCACATGTGTCTGGCCGCTTGCAGCTCCTGGTGCCTTTTGAGGCCCCTGTGGATAAGCGCTTTGAGGGTCTTGATGCTAATCTTCTCGAGGTCCACCACGAGCCCTTGAGGATCCTCCCAAAGCTTGAAAGACCTGATTTGCCACCCAAGACGACGCAAAGTCTGTACCACAGCTCCCCCTGGGCCACATACAGTAGCCCATCCCAGACTGATCTTGGACAATCCAGCCTCAAAAATAGTTTGCATAACGCCCTGAGGAGCTCCTCCTCCTCCTCCTCCTCCCCCTCCTCCTCCTGCTCCTCCTCCTCCTCCTCCTCCTCCCCCTCCTCCTCCTCCTCCTCCTCCTCCTCCTCCTCCTCCTCCTCCTCCTCCTCCTCCTCCTGAGGAGCTCCTCCTCCTCCTCCAAAGTGCCGTTGGAGCCGCCACAGCGACACGCTAAGCACGAGTTCCTGGCCCCGGCAGCAGCGCCAGACGTGCGATGCCTCGAGTGTTTCCATACCGGGTCCCCGGGAGTCCCGACCCCTTCCGCAGGGCTTGCTCCTCGTTGCGAGCCGGTTTTTGGCCCGGCGAGGGCCCCCGGAGGCCAAAAACGACGCGAGCATTCGGAGGCCTAGAGGTTTACACCAACACCGATACCGGCGGCGCGCCTCGACCGAGGGAGGACGTTCCAAACCCCGGCGACGGTACTGATACGCGGGCTTCTTAGGTGTCCGCAATCTCACCACGAGCAGTTCGAACTTCGAGCTGTTCATGGTGAGACTTCGAAAATCCACCGGGGGGAAGTCGATCTCAGGCTTCGAACAGTTCGAAGGGTGAGTCAGAGCCCCGAATCATCAGGGGTAACTCGGGTCAGGGATAACTCGGGTTCGTTTTTCGGGAATCCAAACCCGAGTTACCCCAGACCCGAGTTACCCCAGATAACTCGGGCGTCCAGAGCCCCAAAATCATCAGGGGTAACTCGGGTCAGGGCTAACTCGGGTTCGTTTTTCGGGAACCCAAACCCGAGTTACCCCGGACCCGAGTTACCCCGGATAACTCGGGCGTCCAAGTGAGATCGTCTTCCCCCTGGTGGAGGCAGCCCCCCGGAGGCCCCAGGCTACGAAGAGCCTCTCGTCAGGGGGCCCGGGCGCGCGCCGAGCGGCGCCCAGCAGGCCCGGGGCGGCGCGCAGAACGCCTCGGCGGCCGAGGCGCGCCAGCGCGAGGCGTGCGGCCGGCGCCCTGCTGCCTCGAGGGGGGGCGTATTCCCTGGAGGAAGAGAAGCGAGGGGCAACGAAAGGAGGAGGAGGAGGAGGAGGAGAAGGAGGAGGAGACGGAGGAGGAGGAGGAGGAGGAGGAGGAGGAGAGGAGGAGGAGGAGGAGGAGGAGGAGGAGGAGGAGGAAGAGGAGGAGCAGGAGGAGGAGGGAGGAGGAGGAGGGAGGAGGAGGAGGAGGAGGAGGGGGAAGTAGATGTAGGAGGAGGGGGGAGGAGGAGGAGGAGGAGGAGGAGGAGGGTGAGAGAGGAGGTGGAGGAGGAAGGAGGAGGAGGTGGAGGAGGAGGAGGAGGAGGAGTAGGAGAGGAGGAGAGGAGGAGGAGGAGGAGGGAGGAGGGGAGTAGGAGTAGAGGTAGGAGGAGGAGGAAGGAGGAGGAGGAGGAGGTGGAGGAGAAAGAGGAGGAGGAGGTGGAGGAGGTGGAGGAGGAGGGAGGAGGGAGACCTGCGCGGAGTTGCTGGGCCGGGCCCAGGGCACGCACAACACACGCCCTCCGCTCGACCCTCCACGCCCGGGGGGGTAGGCGTGGAGGGGTACACATCGACCCCCAATCGTCCATTGATCGCCGATAGGAGGAGGAGGAGGAGGAGGAGGAGGAGGAGGAGGAGGAGAAGGAGGAGGAGGATGGAGGAGGAGGAGGAGGTGGAGGAGGAGGTAGGAGGAGGAGTGGGGAGGAGGAAGGGGGAGGGGGAGGAGGAGGAGGAGGAGGAGGAGGAGGAGGGGAGGGAGGAGGAGGTAGGAGGAGGAGGAGGGGAGGAGAGGAGGAGGACCGAGGAGGGGAAGGAGGAGGAGGAGGAGGAGGAGGAAGAGGAGGAGGAGAGGAGGAGGAGGAGGAGATAGGGCCCGACAGTTCCAACTGTCCTGGAAGGTTCCAGATTCACTATCGGGGCGGGCGAAAGGGGGGGATTGGGAAAGGGGGGGGTACGAAATTTGCTGCATGCATCTGGTTTCGGCCCGCCGAGGGGCCCATTCCTCGATACATAGCCGCTTCCGGCGCCGGGAGGCGCCGGGAAAATCAGCTACGCGAGCTGATTCTCACCCCCCCCTTTGCTATCCCCCCCTTTCGCCCGACCCGACACTATCGGGGGCCTATCGCCAATCGATCGGCGATGTATCGACGATTCTAGGTCGATGCTTTCCGTTTTTTTCCCCCGATCGGTGCCCCTCAGAAACACCAGTGCAAGAGCGTAATCTTTCGGAGCTCCGCGCGGGATGTCTTGGAGCTGCGCTGGGCACCCCTGGCGGCTTGTTCTGGCGCCGCCCCTGGCGAGCTCCTCGCGCCAGGGGCGGGCCCAGCGCGGATGCAAAAGACCTGCGCGGAGCTCCGAGAGTTTCTGTCTGCGCCGTGCTTCGTTCCCCTACAGTCGGGGCGCTGAAGAAGGAACCCTTTTCGCTGGGGAGGGGCTCGGTGTTCCTTGATTGTTTTGCAGTTTGCCTTGGGTTTTCCTGAGGTTTCCAATGGGAAATCGAAGTTTAACTTATGGGAAGCAGGGGCCTCGTTCCTTATTTAGGGTTCCTTAGGTCAACGCCCCGACTGTACTACCCAAGGTCTTGACGACTTGTGGCGGAAGCAAGGACGAGGGTGAGGAGGGCGAGGAGTTGGAGCCGGTTGGGGTCTGAGGTGGCCCAGCAGTGGTTCCAGCGGCCAGGAATGATTGGGGGGGCGAGGTTCGAGATTCTGGTTTCGAGGAGGTTTGTTGCCTTTTTCGGCCTCCAGGTGTTTTTCGGGCCCCAGGACCGTCAAACACGGATCGCGGGTGAAACATTGCACGAGGAGATGGACCCCAGGAGGGGTCTGGGAACAGATTTTGATAAATTGATTTGGCCTCTGCCCCCCCCCTCTTGACTTGTTTTCTGGGGCCCCATCCAGTTCAGGCCCCCCCGGCCGCCTCCAAGGGAGGAGGACACAAACAACTGTGAAGACGGCGGCGGGGGTAGCGGAGGTGGACGGGGCTCTGCCCCAGGAGACGCCGTCATTTAAGAAGACCGGCGAGTGTCGCGTTGCTCTTCTTCTTGTTGGGCCGCGGCATGATCAAAGTTTTCTCTTGCCAACGGGCTTTTGGGGATCAAGCTGGATGAATCAAGGTCAATGAGGCTAAATCAGGGTACATTAATGTAGGTATTCGTCGTTCCAGGTAATTGGTTCGCCTTGTTTGGCAATTTATTGCGTGATTGCGCGAGATCGTTGGCTTGTCCGTTCGTCCTTCTCTTACGTCCTCTCTTCCCCTCGCCCTTGTCGCATGCTTCGGGAGCTAGCCCTGCTTGCCGGCTTCTTCTCTAAAGCCCGACTAGTTCTCCAACGAATCATCAAGGAACTAATTGTTCGAGACCCGCGCGGATGCATTGGATCTGCGCTGGACTCTTCTGGCGGCGCCTCCAGCGCAGCTCCTGGCGCGCTCCTGGCGCTCCAGGGAGGAGTCCAGGGCCGATCCAAAAAGCGCGCGGGCTTTTGAACGTTTCCGTTTGAGGTGTTTGTTTCGTTTCCATCCCTGCCTCCTTCCCTTCCCCCTGCTACTGCCTCCTTCCCTCCTTCCCTCCCTGCCTCCCTGCCTCCCTCCCTGCCTCCTTCCCTCCCTGCCTCCTGTGTGTTTTTTGTTTCCCTCCCTCCCTGCCTCCTTCCCTCCTTCCCTCCCTCCTTCCCTCCCTCCCTGCTACTCCCTACACTGGCCGTTTCCTCGTTCTTTGTCCGCTCTCGCTTGCGGTGTTCGTGCGGCGCGGCACTGGGCAGCCAACTGTCACGGAGTCCGCGGTGGTCGCAGCGTCGTCTTCTGCGCACGTCGCATCACGAGCGGTGCTGTAGGAAGCTCGAGGGTTCCGACGCGCGTCCGCCGTCTCCCCAGCCTCTGGAGTGAAGGAAGTGCGTGGTACGACCGCCTTGCTGGGCGTTTTGTTTTACTCTTGGGGTCGATGGGGCAAGTCGAGATGCGACAAGAGCTGGCAGAGGGGTGGCTGCGCCTGTCCTCGCCCGCCCCTCTCGTCCACCATCCCGCACTGCCACTCCATCTCCGCCCCCCCCTCTCCCCCACCTCGAGGTGTTTCTGCAATTCCGTGGACCGGCGTCGCGTTGGCAGCAGAGGTGGAACGAAGGCACATCGAAGGGAACATGAAACCAAAAGCAAAACGGAAAACACATTGGTTAGGCCGAGCCCTGCCCTCACTCGCGCTGCCCCGTTCGGCCCGCTTTCGCTCGCGATGCCCCTCCGGCCCTTCGGTATCCTGGCCCCGTGGTTCCCCCTGCCCCTTCGCTGCCGGCCCGTCTGCGCAGCACGGCAGGCCTCCCAGGCACACTACAGTCGGGGCCCTGAAGAAGGAACCCTTTTCGTTGGGGAGGGGCTCCGTGTTCCTTCATTGTTTCGCAGCTTGCCCTGGATTTTCTTTAGGTTTTCGATAGGAAATCGAAGTTCAACTTATGGAAAATAGGGGCCTCGTTCCTTATTTAGGGTTCCTTAGGTCAACGCCTCGACTGTACAAGCTGAGCCCGCACCGTGACCCGCTGGCTTAGGAGGGGGTTGCAGCGAACGGCGTGGCGCGCCGCGTGAGTCTAGCCCCGCCGATCCTGCGAGGCCGCGGTGGTGCTGCCATCTTCTGTCGGCGGTCCTGAGGGTGAGGGGCCGCACGCAGCGTGCAAGTTCCACAGGTGAGCCCTTCCCATCCTTCGGGGGGCCTTCTCCCGCAGGGCCCCCGTCCCTGCACCGCCGACTCTGGTGGAGTCGGGCCCGTGGTCAGGAGGAGGGGGCGGGAGGGGCAGTGCCTGGGAGGCAGCCCGAGACTGAACCGCCGCGGCACTGAGCCGCCCAAGGGAGGAGCAGCGGCAGCAGAGGCGAGGATGGGCACGGCGGGGCGAGGAGGCGGGGATGTGGCAGGGATGGGGCGAGGACGGGTCGATGATGCGAGGTGGAGGAGGCGAGGATGGATAGCACGGGGCGAGGACGAAGCGAGGAGGAAGCGAGGATGGGGAGGAGGGGCGAGGAGGAGACGAGGATAGGGAGGACGGGGCGAGGAGGACGGCGAGGACGAGGGGGAGCAGGAGGAGGAGGGGGAGGAGGAGGGCAGGGTGGGGCGAGGTGGAGAAGCAGCAGCGGCAGGATGAGGAGGACCTCGGTGCCAGAACCCCGACGGCGTCGGCACCGCCACCGCCGAGCACCTTCGGCACCGTCGCCGCGTCGGCAGCCGTCCAATCGCGGGCTGCCCCGGCAGGTGTCCACGCTGGCCACCGCCAGCAAAGCGTCCGCAAGGAGGACCGACGAGGCGCGTGCTCAGGGGGGGCGCACGGAGGGGGCGGGCTGCCCCGCTCTTTTCGGCCATGCGCAAGAGTGACCCTTCGCCGGAGTGACCCTTGGGTGCGGGGCCTTGGCCTGCGCGCGTGGAATTGGCCCTCGCCGTGGCCCCTGAAGCCGCGCACCAGAGGCCACTCTTGCCTAGGGCCACTTCTCGCGCGTAGGCGGCTTCGTTTTCGGGGAGGAGGGCCAGAGGCGATGCTCTGTCTGCTCTGGGGGAGATGAGGGTTCTTCGAGGCAGCGGAGGAGCGCTACGCCCGAGAGGAGGAGGAGGAGGAGGAGGAGGAGGAGGAGGAGGAGGAGGAGGACTGCAGTGTAGTGCCAATGCCCTTGAGGGTAGGCGTAACCCTATGAGTGTGCTCGTGAAGGTTGGGGTGAGAACCTTCTTGTCCTAGAACCTGTGCAAGGACTGTTGTTGGCACCTGGTGTTGGTGGATGGTATGCGTGGTCAGCATACTCTAGGATAGCCAGGAGGGAGCGGGGCTGTGAAATAACATGCCCCCGTTCCTGATATTACTTCTGAAGGGCTGTAAAATAAAATGCCCCCCTCCCCCAGAGTGGGGTGTAGATCTCCGACGCGCATTCCCGAGGCATTTACCAGCATGGAAAACTTACACCCCGCTGCCTCGCCCCAGCTGCAACGCGCGAGGCTGGCCACCAGTGGGCCCAGGCAATTTCTGAACATATCGCCCCCCCCGGCGCAAATGTTGAAAAATTGTCTGGGGCCACCCCGCGTTCCCCCCAGGGCCTCGCTGGCGGTCGTGGACGACCGATGTCCTCAAAAGGCCGCTTGGGGCCCAAGGTCACCAGGGGCTGGCCAGGCTTGGAAAGGTGTGCGGGACCGCCGGTATTGCCGCTGGGCTGTGTCTTGCAGGACAGAAGCTCCAGCGTCGTTGGCGGATTGTGCCCTGACTTGCCTCGTAGGGGCGAAGGTGTGCAGGACTGCCGGCATTGTCACTGGGCTATGTTTTAGAAGTGAATACCTCCGACCAGGCGCAGGCCCTAGAGTTCAGTGTCCTGGAGGGCGGAATCACCATCATGTCCAGTGGAAACAGCACCCCAAGTTGTCGCCGGCCTATGCGCGCATACCTCGTGCGGAAAGGTGCGCAGGACCGCCGGCACTGCCGCCAGGTTGTGCCCTGGAGACCAGAACCTGTGACGTGTCGATTAAAATTGTCTTCGCACTTGATCGATGACGTTCCGCTTCCTGTTTTTCGGTAGAAGAGTTCTCTACGTGAGGGTGTGCAGGGCCGCCAGCCTTGACCAGGATCCGCCCTCGCCCTCTTCGGAGCGCCTCCGCCGGAGATCCTCGCCGGCCGAAGGTCCTCCGCCGGAGGTCCTCGCGCCTCCGCCGGAGGTCCGCCGGAGGAGCGCGTCCGCCGGAGGTCCTCGAGCCCTGGCGGGAGCGTCGGCTCCCCGGCGTCGCCCAGGAGCGTGCTCCTCCTGTGCGCGCGTCGGCCCCCCCGAGGGGGGCGGCGCGCGCTCCGGCCTCGGTGGCGGGCGTTCTCTGGCCATATGCCGCCCGGGCAGGGAGGTCCTGCTAGATGCCTGCACGTGCGATTCCAAAGGGATTGGTATGTCCTTCTGCGCCCCAGCGTTGTCCAGCATGTTTGGGACGCTGGGATCCTCGTCTCGGGGGGCTGCTCCGATGCCGGCAAGGCCTGGGGCCCTGCAGGGGTCCGAAGCTTCCCGCCAGGGCCCCCTCCTGATCGCCGCTGGAGTCGACTCCCTCTCAGCCCGCGCGCGCACTCTCAGTCGCGTTCGCTCCGGCCAGTGACACAGGGCTCAGGCCGTGCTGATTGGGGCGCTCGCTGCGCGCAGGGGGCACGGTGTCGGCCAGCGGCGACCCCGCGGCACGCGTTCAACGTTGAACGCTGCCAGCGACCCAGAATCAGCCAGGGCGCATCCTTGCTCGAACACCTCCCTCACTCTGGCCAGCCTCCTTGCTCTCTTGTGGGGCCAGGGGGGCTTCTGGTCCGGCCGCGCGCTGACTGCCTTCTGCCATGCGCCCGTGGCGGACCCACGGTGCCAGCATCTGTACCATGGCGCCCACAGCACCCGCTGCCACAGCGCCCACCTTCACGGCAGCTGCAGCGCATCACGCCATGGCCAAGTCCCGGTGCACCAGACGCATGTTCAGGCAAGGGTTTCAGCCCAGAGAACTTGGCGGCTGCGCAACCGGCGGCGGCGACATCCGCCACAACATTGTGTGCCCCGCGCCGGCAGGTCTCGTCCTTGCTCCAGTGCCTCCCGCTTTCTCCTGCCCGCGTGTGACTCAGAAGATGGGCACATCATCCGTCGGGTCGGCCCGATTACTAGCACTGGAGTGTTTTCCGTTGCCACTGCCTGCACGGCTACGCGTTCTCGGCCTGATCGGCTTGCGAGAGGGTGCCTTGGTGCTTCGAGGGGCCGTGCGACGCCCTGCTGCTGTCTGCGCTTGTCTGGTGGCGGACGATTCAACGGGGTGCGAGGTCCTACTCGGCGAGGGATGGATATACACGTCGTTGGATTGGGGGGAGGGGCGATGGTGATGGCTCCACACTCGGCGTAGAATGATCGTTGGACAAAGTTCCCAATGAGGTCCTGTACAATCACGTGTGCCCAAACACGAATTGCCTATCTGGCATCGCGCAGTCCTATGGTCCGCACATGGGGGGATCGTCCTCGACATCGTGATCACTGCGGTGCTCGGAGCCGCGGGCGTTGCGGTGGAGCCTCTTGGCTTCTAGCTAGTTGGCGCGCGCTTCTCACACCGACAGCTTTCCAGCTCTAAGGCATGACAGCCATCATCAGCATCAATGTTTGTCGTCGGCGTTCCTCTCCTCGTCTTCCCCTCGTTCCTTCTCGTCCTCCTCGACGTCACCATTATCTTCGGTCTTTTCCTGAACGTCCTCGTCCGCTTCCTGGTCCTCCTCACCTTCCTCCTCCCGGGCAGGCGATCAAGGGCGCCGCAGGGCTGGCGGCGAGCATGGCCACGGGAGTGTCGCAGCTGCACCAGGAGTTGGCGGAGGCCTCGGGGACCGCCAGTGGGAGGGCGTTGACTGTTGCGTCGGTGACGCATCAAATGTGAACTAGAACGGGGACGGGGGCAAACCATGCGTATATCTATATACATTGTCATACACTGTGTGCGTATGCGTCTACATCACTGCGCTCACACGTATGTAGAAGGAGGGAAAAGGCAGCAATAAGGGAGCAACACACTTTGCCACATGTCACACTAAGCTATTGCCTGAAATAATACAGCGATCAACATGTGACCCACTGCGGTATACCACAGGGAACCATGCTGTGCATGTCTGTGGTATACCATTGCGCAGTGCTGGATTGCACAGCACGCATACTACATTGCACAGTTTATTACAATAATTACTCTCTTATCGTGTGCAACACGATGACAGACCATATGTTGATAGAGCTGACTGCAGTATGTGATTGGTTGCCACTGTATGCGTGGCGATACTGCCTTATGCTGTGCACATTCCACAAGCAGTGCTTGCACTAGGCGCTTGTGTTTCCGTTCTAAGGAACTGCCCCCCCCGTCGCCGCCTCGTCGCCGCCCGTCGTCGGGGCCTGAATGTCGGTCTGGCGGCCATGTTGCTGTCGTCGCCGGCCCATTCGCCGCCTCGTCGCCGCCCGTCGTCTGGGCCTGCACGTCGGTCTGGCGGCTATGTTGTCGCCGTCGCTGCCTCGTCGCCGCCCGTCGTCTGGGCCTGCATGTCGGTCTGGCGGCTACGTCGTCGCCGTCGCCGCCCAAATTGCACAACGCGTAGGTGGCATCGCTTTCCAAAAAGATATTAGGATCTCCCCCCTCCCCTCCATGGGTTAGCGGTGCACCTTTTCGTATGGCAATTTACATATGATTATGCCCCATCCCTCATCTTAAATATGAGTTGGTACCATCCTAGCCAGGCCGGTATCGCCCTCCCCCTCATTCTTTGCATAAAGCACTGCGCGCACATTCGTTCATCACAAATCGTAAGTTTTCTTTGCAAAAGATGGGACGCAGTGCAAACGCGCGCGTCGTCGCGCGCGCATGCCGCAACCTCTCAAAAACTGTAGGTTCCGTAAGGATTTCAAAATCGAGTGTCCCGAAGACAAATAAAACACATGGTTTCACAACAAGGGCTTTCCAACATTAGCCTGGCGAAGGACCCAGCCATACGCAGTTGTGAATATCGTTGTTGTTAGTATCGCCTTCAGTGGAGCTCCCTATGGGGCCCCGAAGCGCGTGAAGAGTGCCAAAATGGGGCGGGACCGCCATGAAGGCGCTGCTACTGGGGCCGGATGTAGAGCCTCCTCTATGGGACCGCAAAACGTGTGATGGATGTGCCGACATGGGGCGGGGACGCCATGCGGGCGCTGCCACTAGGGCCTTCGGTGAAGCACCCCCTGGGGCCACGAAACGTGCGAGGGGCGAGCGGCGATGATGGCGATGATAAAAACGATGCGCAGGACCTTAAGTGGAGCTCATTATGGGGCCATGAAACGTGTGATGGGTGTGCCAAACTCGGGCGGCGCCGCCATGCGGACTGCGCCACTGGGACCTTAGGTGGAGCTCCCAACGGGGCCACCCACGAAGCATGTGATGGGGTGTGCTAAAATCGGGCGGCGCCGCCATGCGGACTGCGCCACTGGGACCTTAGGTGGAGCTCCCTATGGGAAAACGAAACGTGTGAGGGGTGTGCCAAACAGGGGCGGCGCCGCCATGCGGACTGCGCCACTGGGACCTCAAGTGGAGTTCTCTATGGGGCCACGAAACGTGTGAGGGGTGTTCCAATTGGGGCGGCGCCGCCATGCGGACTGCTCCAATGGGACCTTCGGTGGAGTTCCATATGGGGCCACGAAGCGTGTGAGGGGTGTGCCAAAATCGGGCGGCGCCGCCATGCGGACAGCGCCACTGGGACCTTAGGTGGAGCTCCCTATGGGGCAGCGAAACGTGTGAGGGGTGTTCCAAAATGGGGCGGTGGCGCCATGCGGGCTGCGCCACTGCGACCTCAGGTGGTGCTCCCTATGGGGCCACGAAACGTGCGAGGGGTGCCAACACGGGGCGGTGGCGCCATGCGGTCTGCGCCACGGAGGAGGGGGAGGAAGGAAGGATGAACGCGGGGCGCTGTCTCTTCAAAACGAGGACCCAACACCACAGGATGACTGTGAATAACCTGCGAAGGCGATTTTGCGACTTCTCAGGTAAACCCTCGTGTTGCCTACGCGTTCATGAATCGCTACCAAGCGAGCGTCTCGCGCGCGCATGTCGGAATCGTTCGAACGCCCTTGCTCGCGTGCTCTTGCAATAATCATTGCAACGCCAAAAAACGACGTGCACTAGCGCGCGTCGTCGCGCGCGCGCATGCCGACATTAGTCAAAAACCGTAAGTGTCGCAAGGATGTTCAGAACGAGTGCCCCGAAAACAGATAAACAAGTTAGCCTGGCGAAGGACCCAACCATATGCAGCTGTGAATACCGGAAGTATAAATATCATTTTCGCCCGCGCTCCTTATGGGGCCTCGAACCGTGTGAAGGGCGTGCCGACATGCGCGGCGGGGCACACAACGCGAGCGAAGACGATATGTCTGTGTGCGAGAGACTGCGAGCGCGTGAGTCTGATTGTGGATGAGTCTGCGCGCGCGTGAGTCTACGTGCATAAATGTCGACGCCCATGTCGGCGCGCCTCTCATGAAGATCGCGCCCGCTTCCTTCCCGTTTTTCTTCTCCCCCTTTGCCCGTGCACGCCCACGTCCAAGGCTGCGGGCGCGGCGCCGCACGGAGTCCCCGCGACGCGCGCCGGTCGCCCCGAAGGGGTCCCGGCGTCGCGCGCGGGTCGTCCGCTGCGCGGAGCAGAGCGAGCGAGCAGACTGGTTCCCGCCCGGGATGCGCGGCCCGAAAGCGGCCCCAACACGTCGAATACGACGAAAAACCTCCACACACCGAAAGTCGCCGCCATGCGAACTCCGCCACTGGGCCGCCATGAGAGTTCCGCCACGGAGACTGCAGGTTGAGCTCCCTATGGGGCCACGAAGCGTGTGAGGGGTGTAACAAAATGGGGCTGCGCCATTGGGACCTTAGATGGAGCTCTGTATGGGGGCACGAAACGTGTGAGGGATGTGCCAAAATGGGGCGGCGCCGCCACGGTGGCTGCGCCACTGGGGCCCTAGATGGAGCTCCCTACGGGGCCACAACACGTGTGACGGGTGTGCCAAAATGGGGCGGCGCCGCCATGCGGGCTGCGCCACTTGGACCTGGGTGGTGCTCCCTATGGGGCCACGAAACGTGTGAGGGGTGTGCCACAATGGAGCGGCGCCGCCATGCGGGCCGCGCCATTGGAACCCTAAATGGAGCTTCCTATGGGGCAACGAAATGTGTGAAGGGTGTGCCAGAATGGAGCGACGCCGCCATGCGGGCTGCGCCATTGGGACCTTAGGCGGAGCTCCCTATGGGGCCACGAAGCGTGTGAGCGGCGTGTGCCAAAATGGGGCGGCGCCGCCATGCGGGCTGCGTCAATACCAGTGCTGCCCGCCCTCCTGGCGACCGCCAATTTCAGCTACGATCTGCTCATTTTCAACATGCTCTTGTTCTGCACCGCTGACTTGAACTCGGTCTCCAGCTTCCTCAGCAGATATCCTTAGGTGACGCACTTGAGGCCGCAGTCTCCAATCGGTTTCTCTTTACACCTGTTCTGCGTGAGTTTCAAGGTGTTCGGCTTCGGGGTAACAGCTCACGACATCGACGATGGGACGGCCCCCGCGCACGTCCTGAATTTCGACCTGCTGAACGCGTTCCTGCCGAAGTTCCTTACCGAACTTGTTTTGCGGATGCTATTCCTGTCCGTGCTCCGGACGCTGATGGCGCCCCTCGTCAAGACGCTGCGGTGCAAAGTCCTGAACACGTTCTTCTGCGTTCTTGTGTACAGCAACCACGCCTACCTCGTGAGACTCTCTGTCCTGAGAGATTGCCTGAGGTCGCCGTACTTGATGATTTCGCATTCGTCTCGCCTTCGGGAAAGATGAATCAGGAGGAATATGATTTGGATGCTGTTGAAGAAAGTGGTGATCGCCCTGTCAGGGACATGCCCACTAATGACAAACTTGACCAGCTGTTGAAGTCAGCCATGAGCATTGGTCAACAGCTGACCGTATCGTGCTCCAAGATCTCCCAGATCTGTCACCAGATGTGCACTGCCACCCATGCTGAGTCGGCGGCTGTGGATGAACACTTTGCCCCTGCCGCGGATTCCAGTGGGAGTCAGGCGGGGCTGGTCCCGCAGAGCGCTACCTATCTACACACGTACAGGCCCCTGAGCAGCAGGCGGCGTAACGGTGTTGATACGTGGCTTCTTTCGTTGGCAAACTATATGCGCCCGAGCTGCCGTCAGGACCCTACTGGCATGATAGTGTGTCTTACCGATGCGAACGCACTGGACTTGTCAACCGAGCTCCAGCAACGCCTCGGCATGAATAGTCGTTGAAGCTTGAAGTCGCACAGCGTTGACACTGATGAAAAGTTGTCCATGTTCAAGTCGAATGTATCGTAGAAGTTGTCCCGATTGTTATAACAAGCGTGTATATTGTCTCCCCATGCCCATGTGTTGCACAGGTAGAGGTCGATGATTGCTCAGTTCTGCGATATTGCTAGGCATTTCCGCGAACTCTCAGGAAGGAAAACTATCCCAGTGCGACCCTACCTAGGAGTTGGAGCCCTAGGAAAGCAGCATTAGTAGCAACAGTAAAGCTAAGCTAAAGCTAAGTTAAAGCTAAGCGAAAGCTAAGCTAAAGCTAAGCTATAACTAAGCTGAAGCTAAGATAAAGCTAAGCTAAAGCTAAGCTAAAGCTAAGCTAAAGCTAATCTAACACTAAGCTAAAGCGAAGCTGAAGCTAGGATGAAGCTAAGCTGAAGCTAAGCTAAAGCTAAAGCTAAAGCTAAGCTAAAGCTAAGCTAAAGCTAAGGTGAAGCTAAGCTAAAGCTCAGCTAAAGCTAAGCTGAAGCTAAGCGGAAGCTAAGCTAAAGCTAAGCTAAGGCTAAGCTAACACTAAGCTGAACCTAAGCTGAAGCTAAGCTAAAGCTAAGCTAAAGCTAAGCTAAAGCTAAGCTAAGGCTAAGTTAAAGCTAAGCTAAGGCTAAGTTAACACTAAGCTAAAGCTAAGCTAAAGCTACGCTGAAGCTAAGTTCAATCTAAGCTAAAGCTAAGCGAAAGCTAAGCTAAAGCTAATCTAAAGCTAAGCTAAAGCTAAGCTAACACTAAGATAAAGCTAAGCTAACACTAAGCTGAAGCTAAGCTAAAGATAAGCTGGAGTTAAGCTAAAGCTAAGCCAACACTAAGCTAAAGCTAAGCTAAAGCTAAGCTAAAGCTAAGCTAAAGCTAAGCGAAGGCTAAGCTAACACTAAGCTAAAGCTAAGCTAAAGCTAAGCTGAAGCTAAGCTCAAGCTAAGCTAACGCTAAGCTAAAGTTAGGCTAACACTAAGCTGAAGCTAAGCTTAAGCTAAGCTAAAGCTAAGCTAAAGCTAAGCTAACACCAAGCTAAAGCTAAGCTAAAGCTAAGCTAAAGCTAAAGCTAAAGCTAAAGCTAAGTTTAAGCTAAAGCTAAGGCTAAAGCTCCCAAGGGACTGGGGGAACCGCGGGGCGGGGACTGGGGAAACCGCCCGGGGCGGTTTCCATTGCCCGGCCCTTTAAGCAAAGAGAGTAAGAACCCTTCTAGGCAGAGCCTAGGTAGGGAAAAAACACAGAGACACAATTAATCGTCGATCCCCCAGAAAAGATAAGAAAATATGGGAAGTGGGGGGGAAGAAGAAAACCAAGAAAATGTATGAACATACGGGGGATCCCGTTCGTTGTGTGTAATTACTAGTGTGTCCCAGGGCCCTTTCAAATTTGATGACTTCACCTCCGCCTACCTGTTGGCCACAAGCTTGGTGGGCGGCTGCTTTCTGCAAGCGGGACTGCCGCTAGAATGACAGGCCCATGGCGCGCCTGGTCTCTCAGGGAGGCGCTCCCCGCAGTTGAAGGGGAACACCGAAGGGGTTTGCGGGAAGGCGAGCCTGGGACGGGCAGCATCACTAGTACATCTTGGGCTCCTCTCTCGAAGAGAATCTCGGCATACACAGGAACTGTTCTGCGCGAAAAGGGGAGCCTGGGACGGGCAGCATCACTGGCACATCTTCACATCTTGGGCTCTTTTCTCGAAGAGAATCTCGGCATGAACAGCAACTGCTTTGGGGTCCGCGCGGAGTTCTTGGATCGGCATTCGACCCCCCTAGCGGCTGCCCCTGGCGCGCTCCGTGTGCCACGGAGGGGGGTCCAGTCCCGATCCACGGGATCCGCGGGGACCTCCGAAACATTATGTTCATACTGACTTCTCCTCTTCTGGTTGTGGTCCTATTCCTCCTCCCTTCCTCCTCTTACTTTGCATATTTGGGGGGCTTTGTCTGTCGTGTGAACTGCGGTCATTTCTTGCATTTGGCGCGGTATGAAACGTGTGTTGTGGATTCGACGTTGACGCGACGTGGATGCGGATCCGACGTTCGACCTGGATTCGACTCGGATTCGGCACGGATAGTTGCGCGTTGGGGCAGGCAAGGTCCCCGAAAATTATCATGTCAGCATCGTCGAACTTATCCCTATCCCCATACCCATTGGACCATGGTATCTCAGTCCCACCAGTCCACCCTCATATGTTGGGATAGGCCGCGCGAAGCCTGAAAGAACATGCATGTGTCCCCACCTGGGTGGGCAAGTCGGACAATGGTTCCAAGGCCACCCTAGTGGGGATAGGGATCGGTTGCCGATGCTCGTCACAGCTCTCCCCCTTCATTTCCTTTTCCTCCCCCTTTGCAGATGCAGCATTCGGCGGCGCGCCCGGGGGGGAAGTGAGAGGGGGAAGGCCTTTTCAGAAGACGGCGGGGCTTCTCAGACGCTCTTGCTCTTCTGAAAAACTTCGTGTGATTTCGGAGAAAGCGCAAAACCCTTCCCAGAAGGCCGGAGGCATCCTGAGCCTTCCCAGAAGGCCCGCCTCCTCTGCCTCTCCTCCTTGAACGTGCCGCCGAATCACCGCTCCCACACCCTTCCTTCAAGGGAGGAACAACCATCCTGAGCCCGATAACTGGCGTTTGCGAAACGGCACAGCCCTGCCGTGTTCGATTCCTTCCCTGGGTGCACTTCCTGAATTGCTTCGCTTGCCGGGGTGCTCATCATGAGATCATGAGGGTGGATGCTCTGGTCCCTGCTCCTGGCCCCCTCCTCCGGGGAGACCAGGGCGTGGCGGGCAGGTGAAGCAGCACCGCATCAACGTCAAGCAGCTGCAGGAGCTCGGGCCCGCGGCCCGCGCGGGGCCCTTCGCCTTCAGAGCAGCGCAGAAGCAAGGACCGACCACAACGCTGTTTAGCTTGGTTTGGGCCCTTGTGTTGAATTTCGTTGCTGCTTCGTTGTCGCTTCGTTTCGTTGTTCGCTTTTGCTTGAACACGTAACTTTCGTCGTTTGTATTCATTTGGCACCGGCTTCTGTTTCAACGTTCGTTTTAAAGGTTGGGCTTCGTTGCGTAGTTCGTTGTAAACGCCATTTCGTTTTAAACATCGTTGTAACGTTGTGGCACGCCCGCGCGCATTTCGTTGGTCGGAGCCCTGGTCCGCGCTGACGTCCGACAATTGATGCTTATGCCGTGTATTGCCCCTTCGCGCAAGTCTCCCCCCCCGCTTCCTTCCCTCTGCGGTTAGGACTCTGAAGTAAAGAACAGTTCTGGTTTGGAAGGGGCTCGCTGTTCACAGGGTCCTTCCTTGACTGCTCCTCCAGCGCCCCTCGTGCACCCAGTCGCGCCTGGGCCAAAGGGGGAACTGTTCCTTCTTCAGTGTTCCTTGTGGTGGCCGCTTGGCTGCATCCTCCTCCCACTTTGCCTCAGTCTCCTTTCTCTTCGACCGGCCGCGGGAGCGACGGCTCGAAGCGCCTCATCCTCCTCCCTCGTCCTCCCACATTTCCCTCCTTTATTGTGCCTCCTCGTCGTCTTCCTCCTCGTCCTCCTCCTCCTCAGCCTCCCTGGTCCCAACGTGGGGTCAGCAGCGAGCCCTCCTCGATGCTCAATCTCTTCGAGGCTCGGTTGCTGCTGCCGCCGCTCTGGAGGCCGAGGAGAGAGGAGGACAGGTGAGGCAGCACTCGGTCGTCTATACTCTGCCTCTTCGCACTCCTGGGCCAGACCATCAGGTTCCTCGACGCCGCGGGGACCGCTTCGGTGGCTCATATTCAGGCACCATGTTCAAGCAGCGCGGGCATGCCTCGGTGGCAACAGATAGGAGCTCACCAGCAAGCAGAACCCTCTGGGCCACGGGATCAGTCGTAGCCCGTGGCCCAGCCGACCGTGATGTATGGCACAGAAGCGTGGAGTCGGGCAGAGCCTCTCAGACTGCAGTTGTGCCGCGCACAGCGACGGATGGTCAGAATGACGATCAGTTTGCAAGGGAGGCGCACGACAGTGTCACCGACACCACGCCGCAATCCAGAGACTGACCAGAACAGCAACCATGACGCCAGCAACGCTGCCCCAGGCAACTCCAGCGAACGTGTTCAGCTAAGAACCTAAAAATCAGCCGACCGCTCATGATGATGTCAGCGGCGACAAAGGCACGCAACCAGGCACCATTCAGGATGGCGACATCGAATTGTGGCCCGATTTCATCCGCAGAAACAAACAGGGCGGAGGTATTGACGCAGTGCGTATAACGTATACAGCACAAGCAGGGCGACATACCAGACGTATAACATATACACCGCATCATGGTTTCTCGAGGAAGGAATCGTGTGGTTCACCATTCACCCACGCGCCTGGCACAGAGAGCGTTCGAAAGGAACCCGAGTCTTAGCATTCGACAGCCGGGGCGGCTGCAGCATGGAGGGCACTCAGCAAGATGGAGCGACGACATTTGGAAGTTCCTACACAGCTTGGCATTGCTACAACGACTGCGCTGGGCAACAACAGACGCGGGCAGCGATCGAACCACGGCAGTATGCACAACAGCGCAGACATTCTTCGCTGGAGTATAGCTGCAGGAAGAATTGTGCGGTGCTCATCACATAAGCTCTCATACGCATCACATTTGTGAGGCTATGCCATTCACGCTATGCCCTGATGGGGACGGGTGGGCTCCCTAGCGGAGCGCGCGCGACTTCGGCGTTCGCTCGTTCGTCCTCCTCCTCCTCCTCCTCCTCCTCCTCCTCCTCCTCCTCCTCCTCCGGTCTCCTCCTCCTTCTCCTCCTCTTCCTCCTCCTCACTTCTCCCCCCTCTCTCGTTGCACCACTTCCTTCAGTGCAAGCACCGTAAGTGTGGGCAAAGCGGGATGATAATCGCGCATTGGCCCCTGGTGGCCCAAGCCAACGGGGCTGCTCATTGACCCCTGCTGCAAGCCAGGACCCCGTTTGGCGCCAGGCAATCCGACCTCTTCCCCAGTCCTCACAGCCCATCTCTTCCTCGCGCTCGTCCTCCTCCTCCTCCTCCTCCTCCTCCTCCTCCTCCTCCTCCTCCTCCTCCTCCTCCTCCTCCTCCTCTTGCTCCTCGTCCTCCTCCTCCTCCTCCGCCCACCCCTCATCAATGCTCTTTCTCCTTCACTTCGAACTCATTGTTCTCTGCATCCATCTTGCCACCCCTCCCCGTGGTTTATCCAGCACGATAGCGTGAACCTCCATCTCCTCATTGTGATCTCCCTCTTCCTCCTCACATGCACTCTCTTCGAGCTTACTGCCCTCCTCTGCCAACTCGTCCCAGTCCTCCCTCCCAACTCTTCGCCCCGCCCCTCACCGTCCTTGATCTATCCTCCTGACTCTGCGTCGCCCTTCTCTGACTACCCTTCCAGCTCCTCGTTCCTCCTAAACTCTTAACTCCTGACAATCGCTTGTCGATCCTCCTATTGTCACGCCTCCTCCGTGTTGCATTCTCTCCTTCGCGCGACTTCTCCCTTCGCCTCCATGCCAGTCCCCGCTCTCACGGCTCTGCCTGGACCCACTTCTCCTAGTTGATCTAGTCTTCGGCGTCGTCCTCGTCCTCCCTCTCCACGTCGGCCAACCCAGCTCTCCTTGTTCTCCTTCGGACCCTTCCTCATTCGTATCACCATCATCGCCCACATCCTATACGTGCGACACTTTGCCCTCGGCAGACATCGGCATTGTATCATCAGCCAAGCAGGCGAGACAGCGAGGAGCGGGTGCAGCTGCTTATCGTGGATGCGAGTGGATCGACGACGACGGCAACGGCGACGATACAGACGGTAACTATGATAACGGCAACGACGACGGAAGGGGCGGTGGTCGGTTGGAGGTGCAGGAGGAGCACGGCACGGATGAGGGAGGACGGAAGGAAGTGAGGAGCAGGCAGAGGGGAGAATGAAGAGGATCTACAGGGGCCAGGGCAGATATGTTGTGGCAGAGGTCGAAGAGGAGTACGATGAACCCGAGTTGAAGTCGATGATGACGATGCTGATGCTGATGATGCTGATGATGCTGATGATGCTGTTGCTGCTGATCATGATGATGATGCTGGTGGTGCTGAGGCTGATGATGATGATGATGCTGATGCTGATGCCGCTGATGATGATGCTGTTAATGATGATGACGCTGATGGTGATGTTGATGAGGATGATGCGGCTGATGATGCTGATGATGATGCTTATGGTGATGATGCGGATGCTGATATTGTTGATACGGGTGATGATG